CATGGAGACCATGAAGTGAATAAAATAAATGTAACAGAAAGGTTGGATGTAATGTTGATGGTGGCACGAACTCATATTTTAAAATCAAATGCGAATAATTGTAACATTATTGTTATTATTCCCAAAATCTTTTTTAAAATTTGAGAACAAAATAAGAATAAGATATAGAAGAAGATAGAGGCATTAGAAGCAGGATCGGAGACCTGGAAATGATTGTGTAATGATAATTTCTCTGCCTCTTTTGTTTATAAAAATATGTCAACAATCTTCTTCATGAGGCTCTTGCAATACGATTGAGATAGATAATCCCATTAGGATGGAATTATCTTCTTGTTCAGTATCTATCAACCACACGAAATAATTTGAACTACTAATCTATTTTCACCCTTCATATTGTTATCTTTTTGGGCGATGTTAAATAAATCGTGACCCATTTTTCATAAAAGTGGACGGACCAACAAATCGTTAATCTAGTAATGTTACAAAATAATGAAATTCTCTCTTTGAACTAACTCACATAAGAGTAGTAAGCCTTAGATGTCAAAGAATGAAACAAAGTATCGCTCTATCGTCTTCAAAGAGAGACATTATCTTATTCCTTGGTATATGCATAGGCTTCAAGAAAACATTCTCCCTCACTTCTCTCGTCGAATTCAACAACAGTTTAACAAACAAATCTTCATTCATGATTGTAACCAATCAAGCCCGTATTTCTCCGCGATTTGAAATTTATTTTTGTATGGTTCTATGTTGTCTTTTGAAAAAATGTGATATATCCACAAGTAACGACTGATTTTGAACTTCAAACAAAGAAAAACACCGAAATTGCATAAATAATCCCTGATAAATCGAACATCGTCTAGAGTAGTCAAGAGAGAGATTTTCGCTCGATGTTTAGTGGGACCAAATTTTCGAGATAAGGAGATATAACCCAACAAGTAGAGGATGAGAGACGACGAGTGACATTTGTACGTGGATAAACTCTTGTGATTGTCACACATGAAAAGATTCCCTTCCTTAGAGACCCTGATCGGCGTGAACCACCAACAAGTCACGCTTAGAACGTTGAGGTTCAGTATTTCAGCCTCCGACTGGCATGTATACGTCGGAAGAAATTTGACATGGCGGAACTCTTCCGTGTGAAGATCCATGGCTAGTATCAGGCCGCTAACACAAGTTTTTTCAAGCCAGTAGATCGACCCGTTCACACAAGCCGATCTTCTCCCCATATCGATCCTGTAAGGGGTCTCCTCCATTCACCATTTTCAACCGAGAGAACATCGCATTCCGTAGGATCAAAAGACATCCTCACCACTTTATAGCTCCCCGTCACTTTGTCTCTACCGAATCCCATTGCCCTATATCCCGGGAAATAAGTCAAATACGGTACTGCAGTGTTGGATTGATTTCAATAATCAATACTCTCTCCGTTTCATAATATAATATGTCGCATATAGATTGGGCTAATGTGTATATTACCTAGAGTCCCAACATGGCGAGGGCGGACGTAATGAGACACTGGATCTGGACCGGAAGGAAATCTCACGAGTTCATCAGTCGATGGATTCATGACATTGACCCAACCTGGTTCGGGGAGACATACCAAACCGTCGCAACTCATCAAAGGTCGAGAAGTGTTGCACTGAAGATCTTCGTCGCCTTCGGATCCTGTCTCGGGCGGGAGATTCGGCCGGTCGCAGCAGTCACAGTTGTAAGCAGCCAAGATTTTCTGGCGTCTCTTGACGTATTTCTGAAAATTCAGATGCATCTCGATGAAACTCTTTGATTCTAGTATCGATCTCCATTCTTTTGACACAGTTTTGAATTTTACCAGAGATTTCAGGGGAAGCCTCAATAATATCTCTTTGACTAGATCTGGAGCAATATCGATTGAACAAGTTCGTTTTTTCCCCATCTTTGCCCTGTGATTAGGAAAAAATTCCCAGTCTTTGATTGTCAAGGTTTTATTGTGATTGCAAGTGTGAGAATTTGAGTAGCGTATGAATCAAGTAAATAAATTTTTTTAAAAAACCCTAGACTGGTATATATTATTCCACATCTACCCTTCAGTGCATGTACCAAACAATTTTCACATTGGGCTGAATTGTGACCGATTTCATAAAAATGGACCGACCAATAAATCCTGTAATGTCGCAAACTTTTATGAAAGTCTCATTCAACTCACACATAGATGTGAAAGCATGAAACAACGCAAGCAGCATTTTGTACGCTCGCTCTATCGTCGTCAAAGAGAGACATCAACCTGAGCAGAAGAGTCGGTCAGGATTACGTCTCTTGAGTTATCGGCTTTCGGGTGATCCATCGAGTCTAACCTTATCCGGACATGCATCGGCTTCAAGAAAACAATGTCTCTCAATTCTCTCTTTGACTTCAACAATAGTTTCACAAACAAATATTCATTCATCGTCGTCATGTTCTTTGCCGGCTTTAAAATGTCTGCTATTCTCCTCGCCAGTTCTTCCTGGCTCGCACATTCTGTCTCTTCGTTCTTCGCCAGTCTTAAATACAAAGCTGCATAAACAATAAGCTGCACAAACCCGATTTGACAAAAGTTATATTTCTTTTTTTTAAAGTAGCAAACTTTCTCGCCCTTGTTGATAACGGAGGCTTTGGAGAAGAATTTAGGCGTACCTCGCCTGAGCCAGGACTTGTATTGACAGTATAATCGATGTGAATCCGTCCATCTTCTTCACTTCCGATCTCAATA